CCCACACAAACTATGAATGCACTATGGAATGAGGATCTGATGTTTGTTGCTGCTGAACCATTTGATGATTTATTAATACTTTCAGTTGAAGATCGTGTCAGTCCAAACAAAGATGAGATTCTTGGTAGAGTTGTTATACCACTGGCCACAGTTGAGAGACGTGCTGACGATCGAATGGTGCACTCGAGATGGTTTAATCTCCAAAAATCAAATTCAGCTGAGGTTGAGGAGTCGAAGAAAGATAAGTTTGCTAGTAGGGTCCATCTTCGTGTAAGCCTTGATGGGGGGTATCATGTGCTTGATGAGTCTACTCACTACAGTAGTGATCTCCGACCAACTGCAAAACAGCTCTGGAAGCCGCCAATAGGTATGTTGGAGCTAGGCATTTTAAGTGCCGATTCCGTTCACCCAATGAAAACGAGAAATGCTCGGGGAACATCTGATACTTTTTGTGTTGCAAAATACGGTCAGAAATGGATTCGTACTCGGACAATTATTGACAGCTTAAATCCCAAGTACAATGAGCAGTACACTTGGGAGGTCTTTGATCCAGCCACTGTTCTTACCATAGGTGTTTTTGACAACGGACAAATTGGCGAAAATGATCCAAATGGTAACAGAGACGTAAAAATTGGGAAAGTTCGAATCCGAATCTCAACTCTTGAAACAGGCCGTGTTTATACTCATTCTTACCCCTTACTAGTTCTTCACCCTTCTGGTGTAAAGAAGATGGGAGAGTTGCATTTGGCAATACGGTTTTCATGCACATCAATGGTGAACATGATGTGTTTATACTCGAGACCGCTTTTGCCTAAGATGCATTATGTACGGCCATTGACTATGATGCAGCTTGACATGTTACGTCACCGAGCTGTCAGTGTAGTTGCAGCACGACTCAGTCGTGCAGAACCCCCTCTCGGAAAAGAAATAGTCGAATACATGACTGATGCCAATTCACATAACTGGAGCATGAGGCGCAGCAAGGCTAACTTCTTCAGGCTAATGTCAGTTTTTAGCGGATTAATATCTGTCGGAAAATGGTTTAAAGAAGTTTGTATGTGGAGAAACCCCATTACATCGGTGCTGGTGCATGTTCTCTTTATCATGTTAGTATGTTTCCCAGAACTCATTATGCCAACAGTTTTTGTATACATGTTTTTAATCGGACTCTGGAATTACCGATTCCGTCCAAGGTATCCTCCACACATGAACACGAGACTATCATATGCCGACGCAGTACACCCTGACGAGCTTGACGAGGAATTTGATACATTTCCCACCCGACAAAGCACAGATCTTGTCCGAATGAGGTATGATCGTTTACGCAGTGTGGCTGGTCGAATTCAGACAGTGATAGGCGATATCGCGTCCCAAGGGGAGCGAATGCAGGCACTGCTGAGTTGGCGAGATCCACGTGCCACAATCATATTCATGGCATTCTGCATACTTGCTGCCATTGTATTGTATGCTACACCTTTCCAGTTACTGATTATTCTCACTGGATGTTATGTGATGAGGCATCCCAGATTCAGGCACAAGTTGCCGCCCACTCCACTCAATTTCTTCCGTCGTCTGCCTGCTAGAACTGATAGTATGTTATAAGTTTTTCAGGTTCCTTTGCAACTTTTGTGGGAAATTATCAATTTGCTTTTATCGATTTTTGTATATTCTTAGTCGACAAGTTGTTTTCGATGTTATCCTGTAATAGAAACCCCCATGTATAGTCCAGTTGCTATTCCAGATCTCTTTTGTATGATTGATTATGCTTCAAGACTACATTCTGTTATTGATGTTTACTAAAGTCTGTTTCAATATGGTTTTGTATGGTCTACATTTTTTCCAAGTTTATACTGAACTATTAAATTCGTATACCTGATTTCAAATTTATGAAAAAAGAGAAAAAATTGCTCTTTATAGTGGGATTTATCTATTCCTTACATTGTTCGATCTTGATGGTTATTCACTGACCATGAATCAATGTCCAATTCCTCAGAATTTTTAAGTTTCTGGAGAAGAATATTTACACTTATTTTGGTTCATTAGTAGATTAATTGAGAGATTCGAAGATAGTAAAATCTTTGTCCATTTTCAGTGTATTTAAGTATCCAATGCAACTCGTTGCTATTTGCTAACTATGTATTGGGATTCGTGACATTTTTAAAAATTTGACAAAACTCTCATAAAATACTCCTCCACTAGGGACCTAATTGATTATGAGTCATAAAGGTGCAGTTTCTCTTGAGAAACAAATGATTAAATTTTCCGCATCATGTCAAATAGAAAAGTTTTGGTAGATTTGTTATATATGAGCGTTCACATGGTAGGATTGTTCATTCAAATCACGACATTTAGAACCTCAAACCATTAAAAATGTGACACCTTAGCATCAAAATTCACGTTGTTTATCTCTTACACCTCGAACGTCGATTTATTGCAATTTGAGTGGCTCGAAATCTAGTTTATCATGATTTATCAGGAGAAGCCCATCGTTGCTTTTGACCAGTCACCGGCGGCCTTCCTCTCCGCTTCTGATTTGGTGCTAGAGTTGCCACTGGGATAAATGAAGATGAAGACATGCCAATGAAACTAAGCCATTGTGCCCATAACCTGAGGCCTTCACCCAGTGAAACAACAGTAATGCCACCTTTGGATCCTTCATGAGCAAATGATGCACTTGAGCCGACTCATGATATTGAACCATCCCACCTAAAAACATAAAGTTTGAAAGATGAGACACGTTTATTTATTAAATTTAGTCTCCCACATGCCACTTCACCTATGAAGACAAAGACTGCAAATGAAACCGAGTCATCGTGTCTGTATTTCCATGGTCTTCCCCTTCTACACATAAGCAAATTAATTCACAGATAATTGCTTTGAATTTATAGCACACCAAAAGCAAAATCTCTTACAACTATAAATTGCATAAATTTTATATTAAATTATGGAGATTACAGGAAAGGGTTAGATTCTGACTAAACTGAAGATTAATGGAAACTAAAAGACATTAAGACAAGGGAAAACATATACAAAAATAGTGTGATATAAAGCAAAGGAAAAAAAAATGAAAGAAGCAAAAATAGCTTTTTTAGAGGGCCCAACCGGGTTCGAACCGGTGACCTATTGATCTGCAGTCAATTGCTCTACCACTGAGCTATGGACCCTTGGTCGAAAGCAAGCTCGGAATAATATATTAAAACGTATATTGGTTTTGAGATTTATAATTTATTATCCCTGAAAATTAGGCCATTTTCGTGATTGAATATTGGAGTTAATTAACAATTTAACAATTAGTCACAGTAAGATTGAAAAAATGAAAAGGTACGATTACAAAATAATTTGCCAATATTGAAGTTTTAAATTTAATCTAGTAACATTCAAAATTCGTGTATGAAATGTTAAGTTTCATGCAACACTAGTCCTCCTTCTCTAATGTTTATAAGTATTGATAAGTGTGTTTTACACGATTATTTAGGCTCTAAATCTACCTAATATTTAACCATTGAGATAATTTTTACTTAATTTAGTATATATTATTTTTATACGTGAAAAACCCGACTTTGAGGTGAATTGAGCATAGAAGAAGAGAATTGGAGCGTGGAGCTTAAAGTAGAGATACCGGGAAGTTTGACGTTGATTAGAAACTTTGAAAGTGCTAATTGGATGAATTCACAAGTTTTTGGTGACTAAATTCTACTTTTAGAGACCTACTTGAACATTTTAGAAACCTAGGAGGACTACAATTTAATTTGTTAAAAGTTGAAGGACCAGTGTGAACAAAATTAAAAGTTCAATTACCTAAATTAACAAAATTCAAAAGTTGAGACTGAAAATGTACAAACCAGAAACTTGGGGGAGCAAAAAGTATAACCACAGAAGGAAATTGGAAGTCGGACGGACTTATTTGTTGCCCCTCGTTCATCCCATTGAATTGGGCGATCGTCGAATTTGTCTGATTACTAGAAAATCCTGTTTTTTTAACTTAAAAGTAACGACACTCCGAGTTTTGATTGGGCTCCTTTCAAGGTATATGGGACTGCATAAAGAGCAAATCTACGTAAAAAAAGAGAGTTCCATTTCCATTCCACATATTATAACGTTAAAGAAGAGGAATTCCATATGAAAAACGTCAATTTTCTTGGGAGCATAATTGCAAGAAATTTTTGTAGGTTTTGGAATTATTTTGAAGAAGAAGAAGAATGAGTCGTTCAATATCATTGATGAGGGTCAAGACTAACGAGTGCCCCAACTTATATTCGAAAGAATTAAAGATGAAATTTTGTTAACTCTTGATTAATTAATTTCTCATTTTTAATTTAATTCTTGTTTTCTTGGTCGTCATTTGTTATTCTCCTACTCCTTTTCAATTATTTGCCACCATTTGAATGTATTCGTAATTTATATTGCTTTCGAAAGATTCAATGTAAATTAGCATACGATAATAAACAACATAAGGTCACGTAATAAATAAAAATATTATTATGCTCTATGAAATCTTTATGTAATGATATTTGTGAATTTATATGTTCGTAATTTAGTTAAGAGTTGATTAGTACAAATGAAGCATTATTATAATATCAACGCCAATCATAGATCATGAAATAATATTGTAGTTATTTACAAAGACCTTGTGAAATTATTTTGAAGAGTAAACTATTATTTTCGTCACTTTTATGAGGGTAAAATAAATATAACCTTTAAAGGCACCTACACTTTGTCTTGTCCTATAGATTATATATAACTACAAACATCAATTTTAAGTTTTAATTACACATTTTATGTGGGCCACAATTTTTATCATCTTTCAACGATACATTAACATCAATATTTATCAAAATTTGCTAAACGTTTAATTAAAAGCTTTGTCAAACAACCCCCGATTACACCGTTTGTTTCATAATCAGGAGTTAGCTCATCACCCTTATTCACCAAAATATTTGAGCATACAGTTCAAAAGTGTACTAGCCTGTATGGCCCACAAATCTCATCACATATTTCTCTTCGTTAATTGTGTATATTCCATCACATAAATGTTTGCTCTATACATTCATCAAAATCAATGCTTTTACATGAAAAAACAGTAAAGAAATCCTCCAAAAGAATTTTAAAATGTGCACCAATACAGGCTGATCCCATTCATGGCAAGTTGTGTGCTCTTGTAAGATGTAGATAAGAGTTAGGCAGAGAAGGAGAATGATGGCTATGTGGTTCCATATCCATATTTATTGAAACTTGCGATTTGCAGCTCGATATGCCTCTTTTGTGTAGGCAGCTTTGCTGCCATGGAATGTGATAAAATTCCAACCAACCTGATGATCCGTACTATCTCCCTTCAATCCATTTGACAAAATGTGGCAAAAGAAAAGGAAAAAAAAAAAATCCTTTTATTGACCCCATTATCTCCACTTCATAGGAACCACAATATCATCCTGTTGGCATCCAGAGGTCAATAACAGACAATAGAACCCCGTTCCAGAAGTAGAAGGCATAAGCTATTCGTTCTCAGGTTGGAAAGTAAGAGTCGGAGAAGGGAAGTCACTTCTTCGCATATGCTACATCTGGTTCGGAATTATCTGCTACAGTGTCTAGTTTGTGATCCTCAGGCTTCTGTCCAATCCTGAGCGACACCAAATACAGTAGAAAAAGGCATATTTTTGCACTTCTCCATGCATGTCAATTTTGCTGTCATCTCTTTGTATAGATGTATCAGAAGCTCCATTCTGCAAATTATAATTCACATAAACATGAGATCCTTTCAAGTTTCAAGAAGCAAGATATTTGAGTAAGATCAGAAACAAATTAAGATCTCAGGGATTTGGCTATACCATGTGGAATTTCATCATCCATTAAACTTCACCCCACTTTAATTAAAAATAAAAAAACCCAAAAAATGGGGGAAAACCCAAAGAACATATGCCTGGAAAATAGAAAATATATGAGAGAAATAGTTCCTCAGGATTCTAATACAAAAGCAAAAAGTGTAAAATGTTGTCGAGTTTGAAAAACACACGTGCAAGAATGTCGGAGTCCAACGAGTAAAGCTAAAAGACAGAAGTATTAGGCTTATAATATCCAATTGGTCCAAAGTTCGGAATTTGAGACATGGACACCAACCTCGCCAAAATTGTCACAAATCTTTAGATTTACTGGCCACATTAATGGAACGTGTGAATGTGATTAGGCACATGCATACACTCAAATCAAAATTATCTGATGCCAACAAGATGTACACTGCTTCAAGTAGTGAACTTGAACACGATGCTTGATCCACCATTTTCTGGACACTACTAGGAACTGAGCTGGCTGGCAATTGCTAGACCCTCCATGGACGATCATGAGAAAGACGGATATGGAGTTTCGAACAAAATAAGCTGGGATTATCTTGCAAAACTTTGGGAGGATGGCAAATGCTCGAACTTTGTTTACAAATGGCTGCACATGCCAACAAGTGAGCTGACCACATGAGATTTCAAAAGTTTAGGCGGTTTTCCTCTTTTGGATGGGGAAGGCCTCTTTGGTTCATATCAGCCCGCTTAAGATACCAGAATCTCATTACTTCTATGCACCGACAGTCGGGTGATGAAATTGAGGCCTCGATCAACAAGTTAATATTGATAGTTTATAATTAGCATTTAGCTCATATCATGCTATAACCCATCTCTTTTTTAAATTCCTCCTGGTTTATCAATCTTCTCAACTTTTCAACCTCATCCCATCTAGCCTGTTCTGCATATAAGTTGGAGAGACTCACATAATAGCTGGTATTTTTAGGATCTGAATTAATGATCTGTTTGGCAATAGATTCTGAAATGTCAACAGATCCATGAGCTTTTCTGCTGCCAGCAAGAAGAGCTCCCCATATGCGTTTATCAGGCTTAACGGGAATATCATTCACAAATTCAAGAGCCTCTTCTATATTGCCTTGACGGCTAAGCATGTCAACCATGCAAGCATAATGTGCAAGTTTTGGGGTAATACCATATATCTCTTCCATAGCATTAAACCAGTTCCATCCCTCATATTCAAGGCCACAGTGACTGCACGCAGACAGAACAGATATAAAAACAACATCGTTAGGCTCAATCCCGCAAGACAACATGTTTGCAAAACACTCAAGAACCTCATCACCACAGCCATTAATCCCGTAGCCGTTGATCATTGAACTCCAACATATAAAATCTTTTAAGTGATTTTCATCAAAAATAGCCTTCCCTTGCCTCACTCTTCCAAATTTGCAGTACATATCAATCAATGCCGAAGTCAAAAATGTATTAGACAAGTACCCAGCTTTAGTTAAGTGTGCATGTATACTTTCTCCAATCTCTTGAGCAGCCATTAAAGAACAAGCTCGTAATAAACTAACATAAATGGCCTCATTAGGCTTTTGGTCAGCCAATTGCATCTGTCTCGATGTATCAAAAGCATCACCAGCGAGTCTACCTTGAACATATGCCGCTATCATCACACTCCAGGCAACAACATCTTTCTGGTTGAGCTGATCAAACAACACCGTAGCTGATCCAACACTCCCAAAGCTGGCATAAACTTGAAGAAGTGCAGTCACCATGGAAACAGATGCAATATAACCCATTTTCAATACAAGGCCATGAAGTCCTTGCCCAATAAGATGCTCATCCAATTGTGAAGATGCTCCAATCACTTTTCGCATAATACATCCATCCATTTCAGAGGTATAAGATCGCATTTTGGAGAAGACAAACAATGCTTTTTCCGGACACTCATTTTCCAGGCACGCGTGAATTATACTCCTCCATGAGACAATATCTTTCTTAAGCATCCTATTAAAAATCAGAAATGATGCCTTCAAATTCCCACACTTGGCATACATGTCCACAAGCGAATTCTGCAAATTCGTATGAGAATAAATTACTCTCTTAATGGAAAAACCATGTAGTTCTTTTCCAAATGTCATAACACCAAGATCAGCACAGGCCGGTAGTATACTAACAACGGTCACAAGGTTCGGCTGCAGACCCCAAAACTGCATTTTCTTGAATAACTCAAACGCTTCAACATAGTCCCCATTCGTCACACAAGCCGAAACCATTGCGCTCCACAAGACGACATCTTTATTAGGTGTTTCTTCAAACAGTTTCCACGCAATCCTCATATCCCAAGCCGAGTAAACACCAACAAGTGCCGTGACAACCAATACTTCCACAAACCCCATTTTTACTGCAAACCCATGAATAACACGAACCATATCTCTCAAACCCATTTCGCCAATCACTTTAATCACGCTTAACATTGTCACAAAATTCGGTCTTTGATTGTTCATAAGCATTGTTTTGAACAAACCAATGGCCTCCTGAGGTCGATTTTTCCTTAACATACTTGATATTTTTGACGTCCAAGATATTGTATATTCGCTTAGGTCAAAAGAATAAACTGGGACAGCGGACTTTGAGTTTCTTCGATGGGAAGAAATGTGATATAGGCAGTTCATTGAGGTTTGAAAAAATGAGCGTCTTTTGGAGATTTTATCAAGCAGTTTGTACGCATTTTGAAAACGAGGTACATAGGACATGCCCAAAGAGTCCGCCAGATTTCTATATGATGTCACGGCTGGCTCAAGATTGTTGCGGCGGAAGTATAATTTGCTGATTATGATTTTGTATGTAATGTAAACAAACTGCGAAAAGCAAAATGAGAGAGTATTAAGTGCTCAGCCGCCGTTTGCCCCTTTTAACTCTCGTCAAACTAAATTAAAATTTTCTCCCCCTGATTTTCAAACGCATAATTTTTAATAAATTTATATTACAGATAAATCAAAAAAAAAAAATTCATTCTTCTACGACCATCAATTTTTCAAAAAAACACTATCCCCCATTATAATAAAAAATAATGAAGGCCAAACGAGAGCTTCATTGGCTTAGGGATTTCGCAAATATTAGTAGAAACTTTTGAGAATAAGTTTTTTGAATTTTTTTTATTGAATTATAATTAAAAGTATGAATAAATTATAAAATAAAATGCAAATGTAAACTTGAACATGAATATTAGAAAGTGTGAGTTACATCAAACCATACTTTAAATATTCAACATTCTAAAATTAAGTTGGAAGTTTGATATTTCAAAAATCAGAATTTTTTTTATTAATTATTTAAATAAACTAATAAAATTAGGGCCAAAAAATAAAAGGGGCTTTCATTTAAAAAGCCTAATCAAACAAAACATTAGTTTAAAAAGTCCACAAACTAAGTTCTTTGGGTAAAAAGGCTAAAGATATGGAAAATGAAAAATATAATTTGTAAATGACTAAAATGATCTTACATACGAAAAAGACATTGCTGCCCTAATTCCCATTTCAATTCTCATTTGACCCTAATTAAATTCTACCTTCCTTCCATTTGCTCTTCAAAATCGACTGTAGAGGTATGCAATTTATTTCTTTGTCATCATCATTTTTCTCTACTTAATGAAACCTTAAACTCTACATTCCATTTTCCTTGAACACTCATTTGGTTGAAGTGAGTAATAAAATCTTGCAATATTATTGTTGGGCATTTGGAGAAGAAAGGGGTGTTGTAATTTTCAATTTTTTGGTTAGTTTCTTTGTCAATTTTTTGAATAATTTATTCATGTTGTTGTATATATGTTTATGATTTTTATTTGAGAACAGTGATTTTGAGTTAATTTTATCATTAGATTAGAGTTTTGATATGGGTTACTCTCAAACCCTTTTTCTCATTTCTCATCATCTGTATCAGTTAGAGTAAAATGTAAGTTTGCAAAGGCATGTTTGGCTATTCTTTTTATTAACATATATTTAATTTTCGTCTGTACATAATGACTTACATGTCGTTTTCTGCAATCCATAACGACTTACATATCGTTATCAGTACTATACAATGTTTGAAATGTGATGAAACTTTTATATTGAATTACAGTTATGGACACCGCGAATATGGTATGGATATCAGTTTGTTTTTCAGTTGAATATGGGCAGTCGATTGAATGTGTTTTAAAATGAAAATATGCATGGAATGGCAAATAAAAACAACTCCTATTCTTGTTGCGAAAATTATTTCTTATATGGAATTATATAATAAAGTCAAAGAGGTGTTGAACATCAATTCACAACTTTTTCGGAATTTAATTGGAAAAATCGAATGATTAAATAATCTATTCACAACTTCAAGTGGTTACGAGTACAGTCATAAGATATCAGTGGATTGTATGTTTTTATTCCCAAATAAGATGGAATAAACCAATACCTTAAAATAGAAACCAGTACCTTGGCTTTGTTGGAGCGTACTCTTTTATTATTTCATTTATATTTATAATGGATAATTGATTTGGAATTATTTCCTGTAAATTACATAATCATCGTGTGTGTTATCTTACTCATTTACTTGCTTTCAATATAAAGATTCAGAAACTTGGATGTTTACTTTGTGATTTCGTATTGTAGCTCTCTTGATGGACATGTTTACTCAACTTTGCTCTAAGAGGAATTGAACATAGCAGGTCAAATATTATGTCAGCCTTTTCCATCCTCGACCCAAAGAAAAATGGGGAACGTCATTTTTTTTCCTTTTTCTTTAGGTACTACTGGTGGTGACTTTTTTACATAGAAATAATTGGTCAAGCATTTTAAGCAATTTATTCCTTTAATTTCATCAAGATGTAGGTCGAAAGTGTGTGTATATATGTGTGTACGATAAAAACTATAATGTAATGGCTGGCTTATATGCTAAGCGAACTTCCTAGTTTATCATCATAATTCATAATCCAAGTTCATAAGTTTGTGACAGTGCTGAGATTATAAATTATCAAAATTATTCAATGGATC